AAAATAAAATAAAACAAAATCTAAACTCCTTTTCCGGGTCTACAAGTCAGTAGAGAATCTGGTCCCTGGCCTCCTCTTTAGCTTCATTTCATGTCACTTCATCTTTTCTGCAAGAGCCTCTTTTTGTTCCTAGACCTTGCCAAGCTCTTTTTTCTGCCTCAGGGCTTGGCTCTACCACCCCATTCCACCCTAATTGCTATCACTTTTCCCAGTTTATTCCCTTCAGAGTACTCACTGCAATTTGTGTTGTATGTTTTTACACTATTAGATTACGAGCTTTAAAGAGGATCCCATCAATTTTATGCAGGCGCATATACCCAGTGGCACAAGCAGCAGACTAAATGAAAAGCAGAGTGTTGTTTCTAGAAGGAGAGAATAGTCATACCTAGTAATTGCCAATGTACACTCCTCTACTGATGTTTCTTGACCTCACTACTGCCCTTTTTCTTACTGCAGAGAGGTCAAGAAACATGAGGAGGTGAGTGCACATTGGCAATTACTAGGCATAATTAAACCTTTAAGAATCAAAAGGCAAAAATCTTACCTTTAATGTTGTTAATTTCTTCCTTAATGATTTTCCTAAACTTTGACAGCATCTTAGAAGCTGATAATATTTCATCTTCTAAAAACTGGCTCAGAGGATTTTCTTTTGGATTTCTTTTAAATTTCACCAAGTAATATGCACCAGTGTCAGAATATTCTTCTAGTTGAATTCTGGGGACTTCCAGTTTAAACATGACATCGAATTCATTAGGTGCAGAAATCTAAGAAACAGTAAAAATAGCACTGAAATATTTGCTTATGAATGTTTTCCAAGTGACTGGAAGTTTTAAGTTCCACTTAAAACTTTACTTTAAAAAGCAAGATTCATAATGTCTATATATTCCCTCTGGGAGTGGGACTACTGGAGCTGGCAGGAGGTGGAAGAGTACTACCTGTTTCATTTTGTAGGATCTACACTCGATTTTTTTTTACCATGACCTAGCATTATTTTTATAACTAAAAATGATTTTAGGCCAGCTGCAGTGGCTCACACCTATAATTAAATTTCGTGTATGATATGTGGCAGGGAATCAAGGTTCATGTTTTTCCTATATAGATACCCAATTGACCCAGCATTATTCATTGAAAGAAAAAAAAAAATCATCTATTCAGCCAGGCACAGTGGCTCACGCTTGTAATCCCAGCACTTTGTGAGGCTGAGGCAGGTGAATCACAAGGTCAAGTGATCGAGACCATCCTGGCCAACATGGTGAAACCTCGTCTCTATTAAAAATATGAAAATTAGCTGGATGTGGTGGTGTGTGCCTATAGTTCCAGCTACTCAGAAGGCTGAGGCAGGAGAATTGCTTGAACCCGGGAGGCAGAGGTTTCAGTGAGCTGAGATCGTGTGACTGTACTCCAATCTGGGTGACAGAACAAGACTCTGTCTCAAAAAAAAGAAACAAAAAACCTTTCTCCTACTGAATTACATTGCTGCATATTTTGTGTACTATATTGAATTATATGTGCAGGATTCTTTCTGAACTTTCTATTCAATTGGCCTATTTTTCTTTTTTTTTTTTTCTGAGATGGAGTCTCGCTCTGTCGCCCAGGCTGGAGTGCAGCCGCGGGATCTCAGCTCACTGCAAGCTCCGTCTCCCGGGTTCATGCCATTCTCCTGCCTCAGCCTCCCGAGTAGCTGGGACTACAGGCGCCCACCACTTCGCTCGGCTAGTTTTTTGTATTTTTCAGTAGAGACGGGGTTTCCCCGTGTTAGCCAGGATGGTCTCCATCTCCTGACCTCGTGATCCGCCCGTCTCGACCTCCCAAAGTGCTAGGATTACAGGCTTGAGCCACCGCGCCCGGCCTCAATTGGCCTATTTTTCTATCACTGCATCAATAACACCTGCTTAATTAGGCTGCTTTATGGTAAGTCTTGCTCTTTGGTAGAGTAAATCTTCCAACATTTTTTCCCGTACAATTTCCTAAACTATTCTAGGTCCATTGCACTTCCATATAAATCTTTTGATCAGGCTGGACACAGTGGCTCACACCTGTAATCCCAGCACTTTAGGAGGCTGAGGCGGGCAGATTACCTGAGGTTAGGAGTTTGAGACTAGCCTGGCCAAAGTGGTGAAACCCCGTCTCTACTAAAAATACAAACATTAACTGGGTGTGGTGGCGGGAGCCTATAATCCCAGCTACTCGGGAGGCTGAGGCAAGAGAATTGCTTGAACCCGGGAGAAGGAGGTTGCAGTGAGCCGAAATCGAGCCACTTCACTCCAGCCTGGGCAAAAGAGTGAAACTCTGTCTCAAAATAAAAATAAAAATAAAAATAAATAAATAAATCTGAAACCCCGTCTCTACTAAAAATACAAAAAATTAGCTGGGTGTGGTGGCAGGCGCCTGTAGTCCCAGCTACTTGGGAGGCTGAGGCAGGAGAATGGCGTGAACCCGGAAGGCGGAGCTTACAGTGAGCCGAGATTGCGCCACTGCACTCTAGCCTGGGTGACAGTGCAAGACTCTGTCTCAATAAATAAATAAATAAATAAATAAATAAATA